TGCCAGCGTCAAGGCATGTAGTGCAACACCTGCACTCACTTACTACATACAGTATAATTCTGTGTTGAAGATAAAATGTTTAGATTCATTTCATTCATTCAAAAAAACATTTGTTAAGGCAACAATTAAGTACTTAAAATAAGCACAAAAAAAATCTGAAATTAATGATTAATATGAACCAATGTTTTATGCTGCACCGTGAAACCATATATAACAGACTGAACATCATCTATCAGCTTCCAAACAGACACATGTGTCAAACCTGAGAGATAAGTATGAATTCCCTAATGTATGGTACGTTTTTGACATTCATGTATATAATATATATAGAATGTCAGAAACAGACATATATTTGTATTTGCACATGCGTTGTGGTCGCATGATATTCACTCCCCCATAGTCGATTGCTTCTCCTCTCCCCTCTCTTTTGAAACAGCACTACAAAAGCACTAATCTGAGTACACAAACACTGCTGCCCTCCATCTGTTGACCCAGAAATGACTAGGGGTCACATTAATAACCAGACTTTTTTGTTTGCAGAGTATGATGATGAATGCAAAGCAGTTTGCATTGCGCTTCAGCCACTATATTTAACAATCCAGATGTGAGCGAGTTTACACACAAGACTGTTTATCATGCTACGTGAGAGTGTCAAAGCCAGAGTAACAGGGAGCTCACTTGTATCCTGTTAAAATTACGACTCACGCCGCTGTGTTTCTGTATGTGCGAGGGGAATGTTTTGTTTTTAATAGAACCTTGTTGGGCATCTGAATAATTCTCAGTGGCTGTGCTGATTATAGAGGTTGAACTTGAATATTGAGTTGTAAACAGCTGCACAGTGGGACATTCATACAGTTTAATTAATTTTATGTTGACATAAAACAATATGGTATATTTTACATTAAACAGCATGATTATATGTCCTGTTTTCACTGGACATATCCTGGCAGGGATTACTAAATTGCCTAAAATGTCTGGGTTATGGCTTTGTTTTTCTATTGCTTTAATACGTACAGAAGGTAATGACCGATAAGTTGTTTGACCAATAACATGCATGAATTGTACATAATTGTCCAATTGTGGCATGGAGAAGGTGGGATCTACAGAGAATAGTCACTTGACAAATTCCTCAACATGTTTTCTCAACTTCACTTTGGAATAAAGGTTACATTTATGTTTCTAAATTAGAAATTTTGAGTATTAGTATATGCATTTACTTCATCTCTTTGACATAAAATACTATTTATTGTGATATTTTTGTGTGTGTGTAAAAGCAGGTTTGTTGAAAAAAAGTTAAAAGCTCAAGCTCAAGTAGCTCAATAATCCTGACCCAATATTTCACATGACAGAAAATTTGTCCACCCTGTTACATTACATTTTTACAGTGCAATGCGTAACAGAGTGGACCTTAACGGGACAGAGTTTTTAAACAAGAGAACAACATGCTGGCAGAAACTTACAATTTAGGAAGAATTTTATAGATACATAAAATCTGTTACAAAAAGCGCATATTTTTTATGCTATTAAATAAGTCTTCTAAAAACGAAGAAAAGAGAGAAAACTAATCATTTGTTTTTGGAGATGCTTTCCCTCCAAGGAAATGATGTCAATTATAGAAAGTCATGTGAATTGGGATTGTGAGATTAATTTATAAATTATAAACTAATTTAGTTTGATACACACACAAAAAAAAAAAACATGCATCACAATTAATTGTATTTTATGACTAAAACAATAAGCAAATGTATACACTGATACTCAAGTGGGGTACATCTATGCATGGAAACCATGTGGCATGAAAGTTGACTACCGTTTTATGCTACTGTTTGCTACTATGCTACTATGTACTGTTTCAAGGGGACATCTAAAATCCCCCAAACTAATGATGCCAAATTAGTTAATGTCTTACTAACTCCAGTCCGCCCTGCTACATTGGTACTACTTGCCCTTTAAAATCTTAAGCATGTGCCCTAAATCACGATTTGCTAGATGTGGCCTCATTTCCTTGGAGGGAAATCGATTCCAAACACAAAGTGAGTCATTAACTTATCTCTCATTTCCTCAGTTTTAGAAGGCTTATCTAAAATAGTGCAAAACATAACATGTCCACCCTGTTGTGTTGATAGATTTGATATCTATTAAAATTCCTTTTAAATGTTAATCTTCTGTTAGCATGCTGTTGTTTCCTAATGAGTTTCATTAGCTTAAAACCTCCATTCTGTTAAGGTCCAGGGGGGAAAAAAAGTGACGTAACAGGGTGGATTTCATTTTTAGGCTGAGCTTGATCTGTGCGTTTTTCTGATTGACAAACACTTTCTCCTTAAATTAATTGAATAATTTAAATTTAAAAATCTTTATCACAAACCTGCCCACTCCAAAATCCACCAAGCTTTCACAGCATCTAATTGTGGACATTAATATTAGAGAGCCACTCAGTTGAAGTGAGTGTAAATAGTCAGTACTGTTTAACATTGCAAAAGGCATTCTAAACCGTTACATCCTACACTTCAGATGTCTTGTGTATGAGTTCAAGATGCGTTACGGCACTCAGTACTGTTATGAGTTGACACATATCCGAAAGCCTCAAGGGTCCTCAGCTGTGGGGTTATTTGAGATTCCCGTGCTTCAGGACAGGGGATGTATACATTATGGGACTGCTCCACTTTCACTCGTGCATAAATCTTGGGGAATTGCTGAGTTACAGTAATTGTGGCGAAGCCCCCGGCGAGCTGAGTCAGAGCTCCTCTGAGTGTTGCCGCTGTGATTCACGACCTCGTTCGCTTATATTCTTCCATTATTCTAATTGCTTTTATTCTGCGTCTGAAAGCTAATGAGTCTCCCTCATCCATTTCTTAATTCATTCAGCGACGTCTGAAATGGAAACAACTGTTAGAAGCCCTATAAAAAAAGCATTAATAAACACTTCTGATGAAATCTGATGATAGTGTCCCCAAATGTAGCAGTAAGACAAATACTTGTACTAATAGATGTTACCACATTAACCACATTTATATATATTGTATACAGTACGATTTTTAAAAGTCTCTTGCTGACCAATGTTGCATTTATTTGACGGAAATACAGTAAAAACAGTATTGTGCGATATTACAATTTAAAATAACTATATATTTTTTAAATAAATGTATTCCCAGGTGAGAAAAAAAGTGCACTTCCATAATGTACTTAAAGTGCTCTATTTTCACACACTAATTTTGTAATTAATATGCTAAAAAAAATTATTTAGTTCTTAAGATAAACTTAAGATCATCTAAGTGTACTCAACTGTGCTATTTTGGGACACCATGAATACGAACTAAAATGTGCTTTTACTATCTCTGTATTTACCACTTGTAGTACACTTGAAATCTTTCATACACTCGTATGCTCAAGTGTACTACAAGTGGTACCTAAATACATTTTTTGAATACAGAGATAAACTGTAAAAAAAAAAAAAAATGGTTTCAACTTAAAATAATTTGTTACCCTGCTGACTTAAAATGTTTTGTTTAGTCAATTAAAATATTTGTCACTTAGTGCAACTTAACATTTTAAGCTGACTAGACTTTTTTGAGTTGACTAAACTTAAAATTTTAAGTCAGTGGGGTAACAAATAATTTTAAGTTGACAACAAATTCTTTAAAGCACATTTTAGTTCATATTCATGGTGTCCCAAAATAGCACAGTTGAGTACACTTAGATGATCTTAAGTTTATCTTAAGAAGTACTAAAGAATATTTTTTAGTATATTAAGTACAAAATTAGTGTGTGAAAATAGAGCACTTTGGAAAGCACATTATGGAAGTGCACTTTTTTCACCTGGGTTATTCCTGCGGTGACAAGAGTACTTCAGTGTCACATGATCCTTCAGAAATCATTCTAATATGCTGATTTTCTGCTCAAACATTTATTTTCAATGTTGAAAACAGTTGTACTGCTTAATATTTTCTGGAAACCATGACCTTTCTTTAATGATTCTTTGTTTAAAAGAACAGCCTTTATTTAACAGCCTTTAACATTATTATAATAAAGACACATGTACTGTCACTCTTGACCAATGCAACCTTGCTGAGTACTTTTTGAATTACTATTGAATTTTTGAGTCTATAAGATTATAATTAATACAACACACAGTACATTCTGTATATTAAACAATTTTATTTTATATATTTCATAGTATTTTTTTTTACATAGATGGGAAATGGCAAAGACAACACAGATTCTCTCACAGAGGAACTTTAAAACTTTAAAACATGGGAGTCATCCCACATTGAATTTTCAAAATACAAAAAAATGACATTCGCACTTACCACCCACTTCACAAACATACGGCAGATCACAACAAATACTTGCAACAGCTGCTAATAATATGTACATCAACACTGTGCTATGTCATTTGAAACACTATAGACTACAGTCAATGAGGGAAAGGAGCACATGCAATATCATTTGATGACACATGCAGCAGTCCGCTAAACCAGTCTCCAAAGCCAGTTGCATTCAGGTCATCTACGCATCCAATAAAATTAGTATTCAACATGCGCAGCAATTCAGACTCGTCTTAAAGGAACAGTTCACCCAAAAAGTAAAATTTGCAGAACATGTATTCACCCCCAGGCCATTCAAGATGTAAATGAGTTTGTTTCTTCATCTGAACAGATTTGGAGAAATTTAGCATTAGAGCACTTGCTCACCAATGTGAAAAAGTCCATGCCCTGTTGTGAGAGGACAACGTGAAATGGACTTTTTCACTTAAGGAAAACATTATTATGGATTATGGACTCATATTTTGGACAGAAGCAACAGTTTGTACATAAAACGCCTTGATGGATTTTTTTCAAACAAGCAGCTATTCACTTCACAAGATGTTAATTGATGGACTGGAGTGGTGTGGATTATTGTGATGTTTTTATCAGCTGTTTGGGCTCTCATTTGGACGGCACCCATCCACTTGGCGAGCAAGTGATATAATGCAAAATTTCTAAAAATTTGTTCCCATAAAAAAAAAAAAACTACAGGCCTGAGTGTGAGTAAATCTTTAGCAAATTTAGGTGAACTATTCCTTTTACAAAACAGTCAAAAAGTAAATTTCCCAACAACCAATGACACATCAACTTACCATGGACCGATATTTGATATTTCATTAACATACATCTTATATTTCACATTGTGTACTAATTTTTGATACAGCAGGGAACCAGCCTCTGCTTCAGCCGCATGTACAAATCAATGTAACCTCTATACTTTCGCTGTAGTGAAATGTGCCATCGCTAAAAATGTTTACACCATATGGAACGCTTGAAAAATTTCATAGCACGCGGATTTCGGTGAGCACATATGGGCTCGGGGAACAACACACCTCAGCTATGTTTTACAGAAATAATCATCCGCCCTACAGCTGGTTTCCAATCTGATAATGACATGCAACACTACAATCAGTCATTTAACATCTGCTGAAAATATACTTTTTCCAACCAAACTGGACGGGGTGCGATTGAACTCGCAATACCAAATCAGGCCGCATTATCTCTACACGCTAATAACATCATTTATAACCACACCGTAGACGTTTTAAGGTCATGCAATAATTCCACAGATTCGTAAAGGGCAAACAATGAGGAAAGTTGCATTTCACACAGATGTATTTGCTTTCCCTGAAAGTGACTATTAATACTGATAGTGCTTCTGTGGCTCTCAGCCGTTGAGCTTCATATACTATATGTATGAGATGAGCTTCCTCTCTATAACCCCACTCATACGGGACCTTTCATCCACCGCAGCCTCTTAGAACATGACCTCCTCGCAGCTGCCGTAGTCACTCTCCACCATATCTGAGCCAGCATAACTGCGAGACGTCCTTCTAGTAGATCCAGGCCGCTTGGAGCTGTCGCCGTCCGCGTATGAAGGCTGTGCCACGCTCAAACGCACGCTGAGCCTCTTATAGCCGCTGGAGACGTTGTCCAGGCTGCGAGTGTGCTGAGTAGGGTAGTAGCTTATGGCAGTGTACTCGTTAGGGCACTGAGAGCTGGGCAGCGGCAGACCATCCGGCCCCAAGAAGTCATCTAAATTCTGATTGCTGTAACAAGGGGGTAATGGAGCGCGGCGGTCGGCGCGGTCCAGCGGGAAAGGGAAGCCTCCGAAGCGAGAGTTCCTGCGCGACTCTGTGGCAGCCGTCGAGTAGGTGCTTTCCACAATGTCAAACTTTGGGAACTCTTGAACCGTGGGTCGGCCGTAGTAGTCAGGATCAGCTGGATACACTGTGAATGAGAGTTATTATTAGAAATCATTTATTTCTTGCAACTAGGGGTTGCACAAATTAGTTGATTAGTTCTGACAGTAGTAAGTGAGATAGGTCTATGTCCACTAGTTGTACCACATGACTTCAGTTGCACTTGGTCTATACAAGTAGTGATGCACCAATATTAAAATGATATTTTCATGTTATGGCCGATAAACACTATTGTTTGAAAGTTTGGGGTTGGTAAGATTTTTGATGTTTTTAAAAACATGTTTACCAAGGCTGCATTTATTTGATGAAAAAATGCAGTAAAAACAGTAATATTGTGAAAAATTATTACTATTTAAAATATTTGTTTTATCTTGTATTTAGACGTTTTTAATATATTTTAAAATATAATTTATTTGTGATGGCAAAGCTGAAATTTCAGCAGTCATTATTCCAGTCTTCAGTGTCACATGACCTTCGGAATCACAACCTTATAATGTACAGAATGAGATTTGTGTTATTACATTTTAAAGATTTACTTTAAGTGAGAGTTAGAAAACAGGGTTAAATCTATAAATAGGGAAAATATACAATTAAACAAAATATGCACCAATATATCTCTAATATACTGATACTGAAAATCTCCACTATCATACAATAATGATATGGGTACTGATAAATTGTGCATCCCTAATGGCAAGAGCAGGAGAAAATTCCTCTCACTGGCATGTGACATCAATTTTATTATTAAACCAATAAAATACCCAATATGTCCAAATATATGAAACTAATAAAGTGCCGCTCAGAGTTTTCCCACTATGCGAGGGGGATGTGAATGTTTTGCACTGTTTTTGACAGTTCATGGTGATCCACTCATAAACTTTCCATCAAGGCAATGTTGGATGTGCCACAAACAGCAGTGTATGAGACATTTGCATTAGGTAAACACTGTCCTGCTGACTATCTCAATTGAGTAAAAATTAGTCATGTTTAAATAAAAATTCAAAAGTAGTCAAATTCTCAACTGTTTTTGAAATGCTTGAGTGTTAAGGATGTGCTTGAGAATTTAGTATGTCACAATTTTAAATGTGACAGTTCGTTTTTAAGCCATAGGTTTTAAACAGAGGCACACATGAGAAAGTGCTCAGTGCTGCAGCAAACAGAAGATGTAATTGAATATGACCCAGACATGCTTTTCCATTGACCTGCAGGAGCACACGCAGCTATTTGTCCTCCACCGCTCTCGTCTTTTATGATGTAACTAAATTCCAAATGAAGTGAAGTGCCTGTTGAAGCTGGGAAAATAAAAAATAAAACTCAAGTTCTCACCTTCGTAGTCGTGCTCCCAGTTGTTTTTCCTAATAGAGTCATTATCAGAGCTGGTGGAGGGTGGAGGAGGTAAATTAGGGGCCACGCTGCAAATCACAGGACCCTGAGGCCTGGACCGAGAGCCCACCTGAGGGCCGAGCTCCAGCTGTTCTCGAGGTTTGAGTGAGCAGAAAGGACTGCTGTCCAGATCGCCTGCGGAGCCAATCAGGGTGCTGAGCTCCATAGGAGAGCTGATCTCGGTTTCTTTCATCATGCTTTTGGGCAACGTTGGGAAGTAGCCGTTGGAATCTTGAACGCAGCCGGACTTGTGCTTTTTGCGGCTGACGTAGTGTTTTCGGAAACACACAAAGGCCACGGCGAGGAGGACAAGCCCCAATATGCCTGCGCAGATCTCTGCGATTTCCACATATGCAGGGGAGGTGGTGCGCTCACAGTGGATTGAGTTTCCCGCCATTGAACAGGTGAAACCAGCGAGACATGGATTGGGAGTGCACGCATTCTGACATCTGTAAAGAGAAGGAACAATTGACTGAATGTAGGAGAGTGTGTGGGCCACACTGATCTAGATATTCTCACACTTGGTCACAGAGACCACAGGTGAATTATCATTCAATGGAAATGGCATATGCCATCTTATCAAAATTGAATATTTTCCTCATTCCAAACGTCCAGATGCATTTCTTTTACATTTTCTTTATGTATGGAAAAACAGTTATGTTATCAAGCTATCATCTGGGTGTTTCCACACAGCTCTTTTCATATTGAGAAATAAAATCAAAAATGCCAGCTACACACCTCTTCCTCCAGGCGTGAAGGGTATTTTCTTTTTTAATTCATTCTGTATTTTATCTGATATCTTTGCACATTTGATATTTTAGAATGCTACAGTTAACTCTTTCCCTGTCAGCTTTTTTTTTTTAAAGTTGTCAGTCACGGCCAGCATTTTTGAGCATTTTCACAAAATTATCAGAATGTTTTGTTGTATGAATATCTGAACATGCTGCAATGTGTCAAAAGTCTTTTAAACACAAACAAATAGTTTTATTCTAGCTTCGTGCATTCTTTTTTATCAACACTTGAATGTGGGTAAGAAAACGAGAGAATCATTCATTCCTCTTCACTGAATAACTTACTTTAATTAATACGGGGAAGACCATTAAGTGTTTTATTTTCACATTTTTGATTATTGATTCAGTTTCTGTAGTGTGTTTTTAATATTAGTCTTTTTTTCTTGTTTTTTTTTCTAACATTAACATTGTGTTAGCTGCTCGAGAAAATAAGTGCATATTAATTAAAAAATTATTCGTTAAATTAATATGACATTTTTCATTAATATTTCTCACTCATGTAATATCGGCTATCATCATTTTGTTAGGTTGACATGTCCAGTATTCCAGACAGTGAATACTACATAATTCCACCTACAGAAAAATAATTATTGCATTTTGCTTTTTGTCATAAGCATCTAACATAATTTTGTGTTTGTAAAGTTTCCCGTCTCAGAATATATATATATATAAACAGTGATGCTGTGGTGACCAATACAGTGTTATGCTCTGATGCGCACTGAGATAGACAAACAGAAGGACATCTATTGATTGGAATTCTCACTCCATGACTAATTTCCTCAAGCTTTGGTGTTATACAGTATATGAATGAGGACAATCAATAACGTTTTAATTTGTTAACTCAAAGGCGCAAAGCAAATGCACCTGTGTGGGCGAGTATTCATTCTCATGTAAATTAGTCCGACTTCTCAATCCCTTCACCGAGGACATAATATGCATGTGTGATTTCAAGAGCTTCGCTGTGTGAGTCTCACCTGTTTCCAGCAATTTGTGCAGAGCAGTTGCAGATGTACCCTTGATTATTTGGCATGCACAAACCATTAGCACATGGCTGGGATGCACAAGGATCGTCCGGCAGGATGCCGTTCTCACAGCGAGAGCCAAAGTACGGCGATGGACAGCTACAGCGAAACTCTGGAGGACAGACGGAAAAAATGCATCTTAGAGAAATGGTCAAGATAACAAAGACATTTCCATAGGAACTTCTCTGTGCTGAGATGAAAGTGTAGACTGACACTGGGGTATTGAGAGATCTTCTGAGTGAAAATACAGCGGAGATTATCATCTCCCTAGCTTTATTTACATATCTGTGTAGTGTTTCTTAGATACTCCAAAGACATTCCAGCATTTCTGTTTGTTGTCCCTTACCAATTTGTTAAGGGACCTTGTTTAATATTCAAGAATTAATTCTGTACTTCACAATCTTATAACATGAAACAGATATGAAAACAAAAAAGGTGAAATATATATAAGGGGTGAATACATTTGCACCACTTTAGCACACTTTCAAGATTTCAAGAGCTTTCACTTTCATTAACTACTTCCAACCTCCAACTTGACCAGGTTCTGGTACAGATGAGTTCAATGCGTTAACATTAGTTAATGCATTTTTAAACTAACATTAAACATTTATTACAGCATTTATTAATTTAGGTTATTTTTGATTTATACAGTAAATATAATATTGTTCACTGTTAACTAAATGTTTAATTTTATGTTTGTATAATTTAAACTTAATTCTTGTTAATTTAAACTTTACTGTGTAATGTGGTACCAATAAATTCATCTTTATTATTTTTTATTAAACCTTTTCTGTTTTTGTAATAAATATTATGTTGTCAATAAAATACATTTAATCTTAACAAAAATGTTTGTGTACATTTTCTAGTGATCATGGCAGCAGTATATGGCATATACAGCATTTCATATATAGCATTATAAAATATATATATAAAATATATATATATATATATATATATATCAGCATTTCTGTTTTATCTTTCTCAAATTGCTATTGTCCACCTCTTTGTTTGTTGTCCTAACAATTTGTTAATTTATGTCAGAATATGTCAGTTATGTCTAACAAACAAACAAAATTTTACAGCAATTA